GGTAGCACACCCTTTGGACAAAATAACTGAAATTAATCACTTCCTGTAACCATCAGTGAGTTTCTTACACCTGTCTACTGGAATTTGGACCACTCTTCTTTTGCCAACTGCAAGTCACTCAGATTTGAAGGGTTCCTTCTCCCAAATGTTATTTTGAGATCTCTCCACAGGTGCTCTATGGGATTTAGACTCAGAACTCTCCAGAATATTGTTTGAAACCATGTCTGTGTGGTTTTTGAAGTCTGCTTTGGGTCATTGTCCTGCTATAACGCCCATGACTTCTGACGGAGACCCAACTTTCTGACACTGGGTCCTACATTCTGCCCCAGAATTTAATGCCATACACACCGTTAAGACATCCACAGCCTGAAGCAGCAAAGCAGCCCAAAACATCAGTGAACCTCCACCATGTTTGTCTGTAGGGACTGTGTTCTTTTCTTTGAAGGCCTCATTTAATTTTCTGAAAACTCAATTTTAGTCTCAGCTGTCCACAGGACATTCCTCCTGAAGGATTGTGGCTTCATCAGGTAAGTTTGGGCAAACTCCACTCTGGTTTCTGTGTCAGCAGTGGGGTTCCCCTGAGTATCCTACTATATCTTCCCTTGTAATTCAGATGGCAACGGATAGTGCGAGCTCACACTGCTGCACCCTGTGCCTGCAGGCCAGCTTGAGTTTGTTTGGACACTGATAGAGGTTCTTTATCCACCTTTCGAATAATCCTTTGTTGTAATCCGTCATCTATTATTCTCTTTGGTCCATGTCCAGGAAGATTAGCTACAGTCCTGTGGGCTTTAAACGTCTTGACAATGTTGCACACAGTTAGGACACAGGAACAGCAAGATCTCTGGAGATACAGTATCTCATGTTCCGCCCCTGGCTTCCTACTAAAGACAGTTATTTTGCAAGGAACTTCCTAGTTTTCTCCATCACACTCTCTCCAGCTTTGCTACTGCCAATAAGTGACTGATTCTGATCACCTGGCAAATCCCACTTCCCTGTTACTCATTATCTTCATCCCACATTCTGTTTTGCTGCTCCTCTGCAGTTGTTGGATTGTTTGTCAGACTTAAACCATACATTTGAGCCAGCACGTGTTACCAGACCTATACTCTGCCTGCCTGAGTCCTCTTGGTGACTCTGCTACTAAAACTGCCTCAAGCCCTTGGATTTTGGAAGCCCGCCAATTGGTTTTTCAGTAGTTTTTCTGGTCTCTTCTCTGCTGCCCATTTTTGCCCTTGCCAGCTTTTTGTGTTTTGTTGCAGCAGTCCCTTTTTTTGTAGCCTAGTGATATTTTTATGTGTGGACGCTCTGTAGTATTTTTTGTTTTCCGGAGTGGCAGTACTCCCCTTGTTTTTTCCTCCGAGTTATATGTGTCACATCTCTCACCAAGCAGCTCGTCCCTCCGTCATTGCCCAGAGCCACTGGTTCTTCCCCCAGGACACAGTCTGACGGTTCACAATCACCTGCAACTGACTACACCTCATCTGCCACTCCACTATCATTGCCAGCCTCCTGGGTCCATCTCCCCAGTGTTACAAAGCCACACCACTCTGGGTGCACCTGATCTCACCTGTTTTCTAAGAGCTATGCAGGGCTGGGCCTGGTTAGTACTTGGATGTGATACTACCTGAGAAAAAGTGCTGTGTTGTAGCCTGGAGCTCCCTCTGCTATATCAATACTCATTGAGCGGTTTCATTGGTATCTATTGCCGAGTTCTGATATAAAAACTGGTAAGCATAATTCTGTCTGTGTTACGATCGCCCGACACACAGATGAGCGAGCGGAATAATTAACGGACCCAGATGGCTGACTTCGTGCAAGCAGTGGGGTTTATTTACAGTGCAAACAGTGATAATATATATATACAATATAAGGGATGAGGAGTGAGAGGACCGGGTGTCGACCAGCGGCAGCAGAAAACACAGTCAATGAGGCGATGATGGGCCGGGCTGCGGAGGTTGGATTCACTCCTGGGCTGGTCGGGGTGGAGTCGATGATGGCTGAGAGCAGAGAACAACAGATAAACAGATTAATGGAGACTGCATCGACCTGTAAGGTGGTGGCTGGTGGAGTTCAGGTAAACCAGCGTCCAGAGTAGCGGTCCGAGGAGGAGGAGAACCAGTGACGGCCGGGCAGGATAGAGACTAGTGCTAACACGGAAGAAAAAAAAGCGAAACAAAGGCAGCGGACGTACTTGGCGCAAAGAAACAAACGAGCATAGTCAGGGCCTAAAGAACTGGCAAGGGAGTGAACAGTGAGCCGTGTATACATAAGGAGGGAGACTAACGAGGCGCAGCTGGTGAGTATCAGTGAATCGGGGCAGGTGTGTCTAATCAAGTAATCAGTGCAAGGGAGCTGACTAGTGCGAGGAAAAGAAGAGAGGAAAGGTGCCACCGGGCAAACCTGACAGTCTGTTGTGAATTTTGGTCCACTACTCAAACATTATCTGACAAGATGGACTTGGTAGCCTTGAGATTGTCCATGCTTTTCCACTATTGTAGTTCTCAAATCCTCAGACAATTCTATGCTCTTTTTCTCCATACTTAGTTTGGTCCACATGACATAAGGTTGAGTCAATTTTTCTTCATTTTACTGGTTGCAAGTGTTATTTCTCTATTGGCATCACCTGTTGATTGCTACAGGTGAATTTCATTACAAATTTAAGGAGCATCACATACAACCATTTCTGATTTTTGAAAAGGTGTCAATAATTCTGTCCAGTAAAGTTTTGGAGTTCTGTGTGGAATGTATCAGATTAGGTTTTAATGTGTGTGCATTCCACTGCAAACAAAAACCGAATTCAATTGCAATCACAGGTGGCCATGACCCAAATATGAAAGAGGGGACCCAACCATCTATAAAAATGTATGTACTGCTTTTCTAGGGTTATTTTCAACAGTTCATTTCTGACCGATCAGATCACATTTGACTAACAGGAGCTGGCTTGAGCTTCTCTGATTAAACTATAGCAACCATAATGATTAGTGACCAACTCAGACCAACACACCACGGTGATAGATGAGCAAGTTTACAGGTTCCAGATAAGATGTGTTTGTCTTGTCCTTTTTTTTCCACATAGAAAGTATTTTGTCTAGGATGAGGGGGTCTCATACGCTGACTACATCACAAGTTCTCTGCACCTATATGGATTTTTATTAAAGCTGGGAGCCAAGCCTGCAGAGAAAGAAAAAGATGAATCAATTTTTTCCCATCTTTCTGAACTCATAAGTGGGTATTTGTGTGCAGTGTGTATACATGTCCTCCATTTAGTGATTTAGGTGTGTGTGTGTGTGTGTGTGTGTGTGTGTGTGTGTGTGTGTCAGAACTGTGGAATGTTGTCAGTACTTGCCCAAGGATATATGCAGGATGATCTATAACCCTGTCAGAGTAGTTTCTCTTTCTATTTGATTTACACAGTAATGCACAACATTATTAAAATACAGTATCTCAACTGCTCATCTCACTGACACACTGCGTTCCTCTATTACAGCAGCAGACATGGAAGTAGGGAGGGAAGGATGTATAGAAGTGTGGAGATAGTTTGAACCATTACTACAATACATGAATTGAACCTTGTAGTGAAGTAGTTATACTTCACAACAAGGGGGGTTGTAGGTGTGTCCAATACGACTGTGTTGTGATGAGTCAACGTGAGTGGCTTCATTCCATTGTATATTGGTTAGCCATGCTGCTAATTTAGCCTACTCTACCTTAGCACCAATTCTGCCACTAGCGTGTCTGCATTGATAGATATAGAACACCATTTAATATCCAGTACTATTGAAAATGCATGGCCTGTTTTTATGGTGCATTAACAGTAGCCCAAAGTCAAAAGTGAATAGCAGTGAATGCTCATGCTAACAAGGTAAACAAAAGAATCTTCTTCCCCTGGGCATCCACGTCCCGATTGTCTCCCATATATGATTGATCAACACAGCACCTTTGCTGGATGATGTCACCATCCACTGTGGTGAAAGATGAACAAGGTCCAACCTTTAAGCCACATGGAGTTGTGTCATTTTGCCGGATCCTCTTGCAGCAGTGGTGCCGCTGGCAGTGAATGCAATGGAGAGGGCTACGTTTTTTCATACCTGTGATACTCAGTCTGGGCACAGCTGGAAGTTAGAAGCTCATGCATATATCATGCACAGTTATAAGGTTTGAAGAGGCTCATGTGAAATCATACAGGAGAGAAGCCAGTACTTGAATTTGTGGCAAAACCTTTTACATTACTTGTATATTGATGTCTTTTACTGCATGATAATTCATACTCAGAAAGTAGAAGTGAAGTGACATTCATTACAAGATGATTAGTTAAAATATTTTAAAATGCACCTGCATTGTTTTGCATTTTGTAAGTTTCAGTCAAATAAAATACCTTTTCCATTCATATATTTTGTCTTTGAAGATTATAATAATAATAATAATTATTATTATTATTATTATTATTATTATTAAAAATAGTGTTTAAATATGGTCTTGTCTGCTTCTCATGATTCCAGTATCTCATCTTATGAGCTAGGTGTATTGTCACACCCCTATGTATTAGTTATAACAGTATACTACTGTTAATAAAATGAGAATATTAATCTCTTAATTACTTTTTAGACTATTTTTTAGACTGTCTAATTATTTGCTTAGTATATAAAATGAAGAACATAGTTAAAAATGCCCATTACCATTTCCTGAAACCTGAAGCGACATTTTCACACTGCTTGTTTTGTCATTCCAACAGTTCAATATCTAAAGCTGTTTGATTCACAGTGATATAAAATAAACAAAAAGAACAAATCCTTACATACAGTAAGAACCTTTTTGTATGTATGATGCACACTGCATGGATGGATGGATGCATGGATCCAGAGCTGAAGAAAAGACCAAAGTGGTTAAAAACACAGCTATGTTTTGGATTTTGAAAAATTGTAGTCATACTTAAAAGTTTTTTCTCCAACCCTCTTTTCTCATTTTTCTCAATTTCTCTCTCTGTTACCTCCCTTTAGTTTGTGTGTACAATCATAGCCATCCTCCTCCATTATTTCTACATGTGCACTTTTGCCTGGATGTTTGTCGAGGGGCTGCATATCTACCGCATGTTGACTGAGCTGCGCGACATCAACCATGGCCACATGAGGTTCTACTATGCCATTGGCTGGGGCATACCAGCTATTATCACTGGTAAGACATCCACTCAGATACACAAGTACACTTACTGTATGCAAGCATAAAAACAGAGTAATGGCAGATTGTCAGGTAGATTTCATGTGAATTATTGAACTGAATATGAGATAGGCTGAGAAAGAGATGGGAAGACAGACGAAATGAGATATAGACAGCCTTTACTTGAATGTCCATAATATGTCACAATAGGGCAAAAACAGAAACATAAATTTCATGTTTAAAAACATCAATTTCTGGTGGTGAAAAGTGTGGCTGGAAAGTTGCCTTAACATGCCTGCAAACCCAAACAAATAATTTGTTGGTTTATTTATTATAAAAATAATTTTGTAGCCTCTCTAGATAACATCACTCATCTGACAGCTCTAATTGACATGGCTTCTTTAAATCCGTCATTCACTACATACAGTACTTTTATAACCCTTGTGATTAATGTAATGCATTAGATTACTGTTATATATTTTGTGATGCACTGACATGCTTTGGTAGTAGTGAAAACTAGCCGAGCTTACTTGATTGTAGTTTGAACTGAAACAGTGTGAGAGACATACAGTACAAAGGGCCCTATGGTGCAGCAAACCCATGCTTTGTGGCGTGGGTAGCGCGTCTGAGTTTTCTAATTTCCTACCTGTGCAATTATCACCTTCATGACATGCGCATCACTTTGCCTTTTTACTAAGCAGGTGTGTCCAGATTTAAATGGGGTGTGTCCAGATACATTTTTGGAGCATTGGTAATACACACAGTGTCTGCGCCACCAAACAGCAAAAACCAGCAAAATGGGTGCTTTGATCGTGCTGTGATGCGTGCCTCTGTAGGTGTGTCCACAATGCTTGTGCACTGTGCTTGTTATACCCTGGGTCCCGCTGCGCAGGGCATGCAAAACTTAAATATAAAAAGATGTCATTGTGTTAATTGAATATTGTGTATTTATGATAAATACCATTTTGATTAGTGATGGTGCGCCTTCATCTAGCACATGAGCAGATCTGCTTTCCCAGTGGAAATGCTTACTGACATCCGACCTGGCAAGTCCTCCAGTATGCTAGCAATCCGCCAAATGTTCAAACCCAGGCATCTTTTAAAAGAGATGTGAAATAACACACTGATTGGATAATTGCATGTTAGGTCTAAAACGCACCCCTGCTTTAATGAGGAGATCAAATACAGTCCTTTTGCTACTTGCATGGGAGCTTGAAACATTTTTCAACTTGTATCAATTCAATTTTCAATTCAGTTTTGTTTGTATAGCACCAAATCACAACAAATGTTGTCTCAGGACATTTTACAAAGTAAGGTCTAGACCTTACAATTATTATTATTAATAATATTGAGGAAAAACCCAACAAATCACCCTTGAGCAAGCACTTGGCAATAGTGGGGAGAGAAAAGCCCCTTCAATGGAAGAAACCTCTGACAGACCCCAGCTCTTGGTGGGCAGCCTTCTGCCTTGACCGGTTGGGGTGAGTGGATAGAGGAGAGCAAAACAAAAAGAAAAGCAACAAGACACAACAAAAAATCAAACACTGGGCAGGTTGATGTGGCCTGTGACTGCTCATCAGAAACGTACAGCTCCAGTGGACACACCTAAATACCACTTGCGCCAAAACATCTTGATGAGATGTCGTGGATCCTCAAAATAGGGCCCAAAGAGTTAAATATACAAAGAGCACAACATGAATGATGATAAGTGATTGGGATTTTCCTGAGAAAAATGTAATTGGATGAATATTTGGGGAAGGAGAACTAAAGAGAAGAGGGAGAAAGCTGAAGCTATTATGAAATCTTGACTTTGTTATTCAAAAACCTTGATGTTTTGTCCACATTTTGTGTGCATGTGTAGGTCTTGCAGTAGGTTTGGACCCTCAGGGTTATGGTAACCCAGATTTCTGCTGGCTTTCTGTCCATGATACACTCATCTGGAGCTTTGCTGGACCCATCTTTGTAGTCGTCCTGGTATGTGCAATGACAGATGCTTCCTGTTGTCTCTCTTAAGCTGGCCTTACAGTAGAAGACTATTATAAAAATAAAAAAAAGACTTAAGGTGCCCATGGCATGCTCATTTTGCTCATTTCCAGCCATGTAATGTTTAATCTAGATTAGCTTGGCACCACTCATAAACCAAGTAGTTTGTAATTGTTTGAGAATGAGAGAGCCAAAAAGCCTCTTCCATTAAACAAGAGGACAGTTCATGAACTGTACACAACTACTGCTGCCGGTCTTGTGTTGCAAGTGGTCATAGATAGGTAAACAAGGGTATATGTACCGATGAAAAGAGATGTGTAACACAGTAAACAAAGCAGGAAATTGAGAAACCCCATATTTTAACTGGCATAATGCAGACATCGTAACTTCTCCAGCCTTACAACAGTCTTACAGCAGACATACAACATGTGTTTTTTAAACTTACCGTTAAGTCCCACTGAGTAGTGGAACCATTGCTCCCTTTCAAGTAGCTCCAAGGTGGGTAAATTCTTCCGGTGGTAGCTGCGTCTTCCGCCACCACATACATTCCCAAAGCAGTGAAATAAATCCCAACAGGTAGTGTAACACCGACAATAACATCATGGATCGTTAATCGGCTCGTTAACCAGCAACACATCACATGCGGCAGACACACTGGCCTCAAGCAGTCAAAACAAACAGGTACTGTGCTCCAGGGGAATCCAGCCTTGATGAGCTGATCAGTCACCACCACCGGGGTCTTCACAGGCCAGCTGCTTGTAGGTTGGATCCAGTCAGACTATGATTTTGCAAAGGTGGACATGATCCTGTTTGACTGAAAGGGCACTGCGAGGTCTATCCACTATTTCTCTACTCAGTCATGGTACAAACTGGATGACACGTCAAACAGACACTTCACAGTTCCACCAGTTTTTCCTCCCCTGTAAAAGTCCAACAGAACCTGCACGATTCTGAGACATGAAGTCACCATCATATTTACCCATAGATGTATTATGTATTTACAGCTGTTTTACTGTTTGGTACTGGAGAGGGCGTACCAATTGGTTGTTTAAAATATTCACAAGAAAAAGACTTAAAACAGCTCGGATCATGACCTTATACCAAGCGATGGAGATGATGCAAGTGCAACAGGATTGTAGCAGGACTTATGATTTCATTACAGTGTTGGAAATTTGTCTGTGACATGAAATTGCTTGAAAAGTCATTAGGTTTAAGGCTGGGTTCATGATGAGTTCAGCCCAATTATGTGAAGAGTTGTTGATTACTCTTATAGCCAGACATTTGCAACTAGTTCATGTGAAATTCTACAACCTTTCAGATACATACATCTCCTACTCATAGTTCAGATTTTTTCTATATACATATATATATAGATAAAATGATCAAAATCCAAATAAATTTAATTGAAGTAAAACCTCTCTCTCCTTTTTCTTCTGTAGGTAAACATAGTGATCTTTATTCTTGCTGCAAAGGCTTCCTGTGGTCGCAGGCAGAGGGCTATGGAGAAGTCAGGAGCTATGTAAGTTTTACTGTCACGTTCACAATTGTGCACATAGCAAAACATCCAAAAGGTATATCTGACCTTGGTGTTTCCATTCTGGAAAGAGCAACAAAATTCTACATAAAAGGAAGAGTTATTCTACTGAGTATGTCTGGGCTGCTGAAGAAATCTGGTCATCTGTGTGTGTTTCCCTCCTCAGTCCTGCACTACGCATGGCCTTCCTCCTGTTGCTACTCATCAGCGCCACCTGGATCCTTGGTCTAATGGCAGTCAACAGCAACATAATGACCTTCCACTACCTGTTTGCTGCCTTCACCTGTTTGCAGGTAACACAGTGTTTATGTTTAACCTCTAAGACCCCTCTTGACCCCTCAGATCTAAGAGCTATCTGATTAGGTTAAAGGCTTATTTTCACACATGCAGAGAGAATGGGAATCAGAATCTGCTTTATTGGCCAGGTGTTCCTGAAGTCCACTGTCATCTCCACTGTTTTGAGCATGTTCAGCTCCAGGTTGTTGCAGCTACACCACAGGACCAGCTGCTCAACCTCCCATCTGTAGGCTGACTCGTCATTGTCTCAGATGAGACGAGTGACTGTTGTATCATCAGCAAAGTTAAGAAGCTTAACAAAGGGGACCTTTGAGATGCAGTCATTGGTGTAGCGTGAAAACAGCAGAGGGGAGAGCACACATCCCTGGGGACCACCTGTGCTGATAGTCTGAGTCCTGGATGTTGTTTTCCCCAGCCTCACCTGCTTCTTCCTGTTTGTCAGAAAGCTAGTAATCCACTGACAGGTGGGGGCAGGCACAGTTTGGAGTGGAGGATGTCCGAGATGATGGTGTTGAATCCTGAGCTGAAGTCCACAAAGAGGGGCCATGCATAGGTCCCTGGAGAGTCAAGGTGTTGCAGAATGTAATGCAGTGCCATGTTCACTGCATCGTCCACTAACCTGTTTGCCCGATAGATGAACTGCAGGGGGTCTACGATGTCCTTCAGGTGGGCCAACACCAGTCTTTCAAAGGACTTCATAACTACAGATGTCAGGGCGACAGGTCTGTAGTCGTTCAGTCCACTGATGGAGGGTTTCTTGGGG